AGGAATTTGAAAATAATACAAAGAAATGGAAAGATATCCCATGTTCTTGGATTGGAAGAATTAACATTGTTAAAATGTCCATACTACCCAAAGCAATCTACAGATTTAATGCAATACCTATCGAAATACCAATGACATTTTTCACAGGACTAAAACAAGTAATCCTAAAATCTATATGGAACCACAAATGACCCCAAATTGCCAAAGCAACCTTGAGAAAAAAGAACTGCGCTGGAGGTATCACACTTCCTTAATTCAGGTGTTCAGAACAATAATACCACAAAGCTTGAGTACAAAGCTATGTTACTCAAATCAGTATGGTATTGGCACAAAAATCAGACACATAAATCAATGGAACAGGATAGAGACCCCAGAAATAAACCCACACACTTATTGTCAATTAATCTATGACAAAGGAGGCAAGAATATACAATGGAGAAAAGACAGTCTCTTCAATAAGTGGTGCTGGGAAAACTGGACAGCTACATGTAAAAGAATGAAATTACAACATTCTCTAACACCATATAGAAAAATAAACTCAAAATGGATTAAAGACCTATATGTGAGCCTTGAAGCCATAAAACTCCTAGAAGAGAACACAGGCAGAACACACTTTGACATAAATAACAATATATTTTTAGATCTGTCTCTTAAGGCAAAATAATTAAAAGCAAAATTAAACAAAGGGGACCTAATCAAACTTAAAAGCTTTTGCACAGCAAAGGAAACCATTAACAAAATGAAAGGACATCTTACTGAATGGAAGAAAATACTTGCAAATGATATGACCTATAAGGAGTCAATTTCCAAAATTTATAAACAGCTCATACAACTCAGTATCAAGAACCAGTCTTAAAACACAGTCAGAAAAAAACAAACAAACAAAAAAAAAAAACACAGTCAGGATCCAAGAAAGACTATTTATAAAATAAAAAAAAAGACTGCCGGGGTCCTGCCATAGAAAGTCTGGTTAGAAAGTTCCACTGGTGGGACTGGTGCTGCCGCCACTGGGCTGTCACTCGTCATTGCCAGATACCTATTCTTTGAATCTTTGCTGCACTGCCTCCAGATTTAAGTCCTACATGGGAGTAGCCAAATGGCCAAGCCTAGTTCAGCTGCCTACACCCTGGTGGCTTAGGTCAAAGAAAAAAACAAAACAAAACCTAGGCCCCTTTAAGCTTCCATAGTCTCCCCTCCAAAGCACATCAGTGGAATCCATTTCAAAAGCACATCCAACACATTACTTCGCTGTTTGAGATCTTCAGCATGGCTCACAGCACCCACCATCCAGTGGCAACCAACCTCATCTCCTTTTATCCTGCACCCCCACCTCCATATTTAGCCCTAGCTGCAGTGACCTCCTTCTCTAGAAAGCTCTAAGCTCCTTCCACAGCAGGACTCTCACACTGCCACTTCCATCAGGAATTCTTCCCCAGCCCCAAGCATCAGCTAACTCACATCCAACCTTTAGGACTCAATCCAAATGTCACTTCACCAGGGAAGATTTGCCACTTCTTCATGTCTGGCTATCATCCTTCTGTTTAGCAATCTTTATTTCTTTTGGCTAGCACTAAAACATTATTTCCTTCCTGTCTCTCTCTCTAGACTAAGCTGCCAAAGTGTGGACTGACCATGTCCGTCTTGCTCACTACCACACACAATGCCCAAAAGCTTCTGATACACCACAGCTGCTCACTCTTGAATGTCTGGTGACTTCCCTGCCTGGTTCCTGACCCATCTAGAATTCTCAGTAGATAAAGCCAATGCTTCTCAAACTTTAACATGCAGGAGTCACTGGGGAAGTTGTGAAAATATACTCTGATTTCGGAGGTCTGAACATTCTGCCCTTCTAACAAGTTCTAGGTGATGCCAATGCTGCTGGTGCACAGACCACACTTTGAGGAGCAAGTCAACACCTTATGAAATCAAATGATAAGCCAGACACATAGCACAAACACTGTACGACTCCACTCACAGAGGTACCTAGAATAGTCAAATTCATAGACCTGAAAGTAGAATGGTGGTCGTCAAGGTCTTGGAGAAGGAGAGTTATTGTTCAATGAGTACAAAGTTTCAATTTGGGATGATGGATGGTGGTTGCACAATGTGAATGTACTTAATGCCAGTGAACTGTACACTTAAAATGGTTAAAATGGTAAATTTTATATTTTACCATAATGTTTTTTTAAAAACCAACTTAAGAAAAACAAACAAGGCCCACGTTGGCCCTGCCAAGTACAGACTGCAACAGGGGCCCAGGAATGGTGTGGGGCACCCAGCCTGTGTCTCCAGGTGCCGAGGTCAAAGGTAGCATTAATGCTAACTCTGCCAGGCAAATTGACATTGGAGAATGGTCAGAGGCCTGTACATGAGCCAGTTTCTATCCTAATCAGAGGGTTTCTGTGAGAGACAAGTTGCTTGTTAAAGATCTGGGAGAATTTGAAGCTGATATACTTACACATGTAAAGTACATTTTCTGATTCAAACAAGCTTCATTCCTTTCAGCTGAGATCCTAGATAAGGGTTACCACTGGAGTGGAAAATTTTAGTTTGAAGTTCCTAATGCTTATAACATGGTGCCTCCCAAAGTGAAATATACCAGAATCTGACAACCAACATCACAGTGACAATGAAATGTCTACATTCACTGAAGGAACTTGCACCCAGTAGCACTGGCTTTCCCACCAGAAAGTTGAAAGGATGGTGTTTGGGGGTGAAACCCTTTACTTACTGACCTTTTGAATTCTGACGATCTCTTATATACTGAAGAAGCAGAACATCATTTACAAGACAAGGAGAGTTTCCAGAATACATTGAGGACTACATTAAACCTTATTCTAGATGATAAAAGATTTTACGATCAGTGACTGTATCTATAACTTAAAATGAGTTAATGCTTCCTGTCCTGATCTTTGCACCTCCTTCACTCCCTGGATTGCACTAGTCCTACGACCATGTAATGAAGATGAAAAACTCCACAACTGCCCGTTTTTGATGGAGAACTCAATAAGAAAATGTGTTTGGGGCTCAAAACTGGTCTGCTTCCTTTACTTTTCCAAAATCAAGCTATATAGACTGCTGATGCTCTTGAGAGATTTTAATTACATCAAAATAGAGACTAGAGCTTCCTCACCCTTTTTCCAAACAAAATCAGTTCCCTGCACAAGTGATTCTAAATTTCAGTGTGACCCAGAGATTGGCAGTAAGAAAGTTGCTACGAATGGTGATTTGATATGAATTCTTTCAGCTTCTTTCACATATGTTGGCTCTCTTTAGGTGCCCTAAAACTTCCCTAGGATGCATACAAATATTTGAGGTATGTCTTACTGAAGGAAATGCTTATGTAAGTATAGTTTGGAACAAACCTTTTTTTTTTTCTATTCTTTTAGTTTGTAGATACAGTTAAGTCAAACAACTACAGAAATACAAAGAATATGAAAGCACATTGCTCATACTGTCCAAATGCAACAAGAAATCTGCATTTTACAAATCAGAGCCCTTTACTTTTGGGTCTAGGTGTGGCAAGAGTTTTGGAGCCCTCTGTAACTGAGTGATTAAAAAATAAACTACAGAGGGCTTCCCTGGTGGCGCAGTGGTTGAGAGTCCGCCTACCAATGCAGGGGACACGGGCTCGTGCCCCGGTCCGGGAAGATCCCACATGCTGCGGAGCGACTAGGCCCGTGAGCCATGGCCGCTGAGCCTGCGCGTCCGGAGCCTGTGCTCTGCCACGGGAGAGGCCACAACAGTGAGAGGCCCGCATACCGCAAAAAAAATAAATAAATAAACTACAGAGACCCTCCCACACCCACCCTCCCAATCTCCTGCCCTTTCTATAATGCTGCCCAGAGGAAACATGGCTGGGAGTCCAGAGCAGTCAGAGCTTGGGTGATTTTGCTGCCTCAATGCGACTGTGGATCAGCAGTTAATGCCTATAGAGCTGGTAATTGACCAGCCTCCTACCGTCCTGTAGGGCAGGACAGATCTTGGAGAACCAGCCTGATGTCTGGAGCTACCTGAAACAGTACTTGAGCCAACCTCAGTGTTTGTTGTTCTGAGCACCAGAAATCAGAGGTGGAATATAGTCGGTCAGGTTAGTGGACTTCACAGTAAGAATAAGGATAGGAAAATGGACTTACTCCAGCAATTGGATATTTGAACCAGTGAAATTAAATGCAAAATATATGCTTGTATGGTTTTAAACAAAAAAAACAAAATGAGCCCATTTCCACCTGTGGTCAGCAAATCTGTGCTCACTCTACTGAAACTACTCCCAAGTCAATGGCCTAGTAGACAGCACTGCATGTGATACTACATTTCTGATTATTTTGAGGTCACCTTCTATTTTGAACCATCTTTTTTTTTCTCACTGTTATAGACACATTCAGTCACAATTGTGAGGGTCATTCCTACTGTGACTTCGATTACATTTGCAAATGTCTTGGTGATGATCATGAATAGATGTGAATTACTTGCATCAGCACAGATCCATCTGAATCTAAACTAATATTTTTTACATTAAGTAACATCGTTCTTCAAACTCTAGGTTTTCCTTCGCTGATGTCATTTTAACCACCTTGACACATTATATTCATTTCCTTGGACTCTTATCTCTTTCACTGACTCTTCTCTCTAGCATTCTTCAGTCCATGAGGAACATGCCCATGAAAATTTAATTCCTACCCACCTCACCCTCTACCTCACTTTCTCTAAGTGATCACAAATTTTAAGCTTGGGAAGAACTTAAGTGTTTCTACCAACACATCCTATTACCTCCCAAGAAGTTACACTTACGAACAGTGAGGGCTTCAATTCCATCTCCCCTCAAACCCGACAGTTAGATCATATGACAACAAATTCCCATGTCTTTACTCCAGGGTAATTGTGAGAACAGAGCTCACGCTCAGCAAGGGTGAAACACAGAAGTTTTACTTACAAATACTTTGCCCATGAAACTGCCCCAGTTTCATAATATTTTAGCTAAACGAAACTTGCAAAACACAAAGGACATAATTGGTTTAATTTAGTTTCAATACAATCAGTAATTGATCCATAACTTCTAAGTGGCAGTAGCCACCAACCAAGTAACCAAATATTTACCTTAAGTTCCAACTAGCTACTCTGGGGGGCTGGGGAAGCACACAAAAAAGTAACAGGCTATAAGAGATACCCTGATGACTCACATAAGTAGCATGTCTAACGGCACATGACATACACGCTTCAAAAGACAAGCCAACAATGAATCAACTTTTTATTTCACTGACCGGTACTTCCGATTCTTTCTCTGATGCCGTATTCAAAATTTTCAGAGTCCCCCAAAATAGCATTTAGGCTTCCTATATCCAGAAACAGGGGCCCAGAGGCAAAAAAGGTCAGGCCCCAGACTGTTTTCAGGTGGGAAAGTGGCAGACATTCCTGTGCAAGTCTGTGTCAGTTTTTAACTGAAATGCCTTTAAGCTCTCCATCCTGAAACTCTTCTATGGCATCTATGACAGAAATACACTCATCTCTCATATACACAACTCCATGGGGGTCGGGGGTGGGGTGGGGGCATTACACAGGTACCAGCCAAACTTCTTATTAAGCCAGAAACTGGACTTCTGGCTCAGTTTAATAACAAGGGATGCGCAAAACTGTGGTAAGTGTCCTGGCTCTTCCTCAAGGTGAGCTGGGCTGGATGTGAATGGAAGCACTGCCCATGACAAAGGTGAATTTAAGCTCTATAAAAAAATAAAATTGCTCCTATCTCTATGAGCTGCTTCCAAAAATCCAGGGATGCCCACATCCCATACCTCATACAGACATGGCCAAAATTCCTCACGCAAAGCTACGTGGGAAGCATAAAATCTTTTGTTAACTTTGGGGCGGGTGCGGGGCGGGGGGGAATGGGGATTGGGCCTTGGGAAAGATGCGGGATGGATTTTTTATTCCCCCCATCAACAAAAGCTATTTACCCACATACACACTCAGATACATACATATCCATGTTCAAGGAAGTTTTTCTTCCCTGGCTACAGGACCCCAGAATCCAGCCTACCCCAGGCTGAGAGACAAAGCCTATTAACTGCACAGATCTGGTGTACCAACATACTGTAAAAGGCTCCTGTGTTGTCTCACCAACTGAGAGGGAAGGGGCAAAGGGAGTGGATACTCATTGGGGATTTGCTTTTTGTCTGAAATCCAATCTACTCAGCAACACTCTTAGGTCCAGGCTCTGGGAGAGGTTCTGTGGGTACGATATGGTGGATGACCTGATGGTCCCAGCCCACCGTGGTAAGAAGGGAGTGATTGAGCGGGGACCAAGTGGCATCTCTCACAAAGTCTCTGTGGGCTCGGCTTCTAAACCTACAAGAGAACAAAGAAAAGTGTGGGCATAGTAAGAGACAGAGGAAAAAGCAGAAATGGAAAGAAGAGACCCAACACACCCAGGGTACACTTCACCATATATATGGCCTAGTCACCAGCATAGTGGTGTAGCTACCCACAGAAGACTTCATCATCCAGTCTAGGACCCTATATTCATAGAAGAAATGATAGCTAGACCAAGGGTGGTGATATGAGCCAGTATCAGACAGCATCTCATGGCAAAGAAGGAAGTACAATCAGATCTTCTGTCTGGTACCTTTCACCCTATAGCAGGTTGCATTTCCTACATGAGGTTCTCTGTGTGAAAAGGGTAGACCGTCTCTTTCTGGGAGTCAGTCGGAATGTCAGGATCAGAAATCACACCCACCACCACATTCCTCCTCTACCAGGGACAGAGCTGGTTGTGAGTCCGCCCCCAGAACAGGGAGACAGTCAGCAGTTGGCCTGCTTCCATCACCAAGTCTCCTTGAAAGAGACAACCCAGTTTTCCAAAGAGAAAAAGGACCCAGCCACGTGTTCCTCCCCTTCCTGATTCCTGATCACAGGGCTCCACGGCACACTTACACCTCAGAAAGGCCTGAGTCCAGCACAGCAAGGGAGCAGTCTTCACTGACAGAGGCCAGGAAGGGAGCACTAGGAGAGAAGGAGGGGGTTGGGAAACATAAAGCCCATGGTTCTCAAGACAAAACCTGACTGGGTAGTCCCCAAAGCCCACCTAAAATGATCAGAGAAGGTGGCTTGATCCCCACTTTGGGTTAAGGCCTGGCTACCACTCAAGTCTAGGTACAAGTTCCAAGGAAAGATGAGGAAAATGGAGCAAAGTCAGGGTTGACAGCCATCCTGGCAACTAACCATCCCATCTAGTCCCTCCCTGTAGCTTCAGTGATGATCCAGAAACACAGGCTTTCCAACCACACAGCCCTACAAGCCCACAATATTAATCATTTTGGGTGTCGAGCAGGAACAAGACCATATTTTAGCCATTTGCAGTCAGAGACCATACAACCCCAAAAATGGACAACAGTCTTAAGAGATCTTTCACATTCCAAAACCTCAGCTACAACAGTGCCTGCTTTAAGGAGATACCCAATCAGCTAATGCCACATCAACACAAGGATCCCCCCTCATTCTTCCTATTCATACCCACCAGGCCCTTGATGACAAAGAACAGAACCTGTGCGGGGAGAACACCAGCCCAGTGACACACTGGGAGTGTACAGCTGAGCTGAGGGCACAGCTTGCACTCTTGGTGTCCACAAGGGACACAGTCCCATTCTCATCACCTGAAGGAAAGAGAGAGTACATCACAGAGGTTACAAGCAAGGGCTTTGGACTCAGCCAGATCTGGATTTGAATGCCCTCCATCATGAACAAGTTAACCACTCTGAGCATCAGTTTCCACTTTGGTAAAGTAGGAATAACTGGTCATTTGGGGGTTGTGGAAATTAAATTAATGGATGACATAATCGTTATCACAAACTATGTCACCATATACCCAGCCATATCACCATGTTAACACAACTGTCCCTACTAGACAACCATATTCCCTATGTAGCAATCCACTTGCTTTGCAGCCCACTGACTTCTAGCCATGAATACAAGAGCCACAGCAAACAGTCAGGAATCAAATCTACTAGGACAAAAATCACCATGTTCTCCAAAGCTAAACTAAAACCACTTTTGGGTCACCCCACCTCCCTGCACCCCCATTAATATAATTCACCTTGCGCCCAAGCGTGCTGATGAGACGGAGCAGCCAGAGTCTCGAATTATGGGGTCAGCTCTCTGGCTCATCCTCCCCTTCCCAGAGTCAACACACAGTTCGACATGCTGCCTTACCAAAGACAAAGATTTCACTCTGCTGAGGATGCCAAGCCAGGGAGGTGGGAAGATAGCCAGAGGCACTGCAGCCTGCAAAGGGGAGAACAGGGGTCTGGAACGAGACTCCGAGCCCAGCTCTGAGCCGAAGCTTCCCAGGTGAAGTCACTCGCAATCCCAGGAGCACCTTTATTCAGTGTCCCAAGCCCTGCTAAGGCAGTCCTGTCCTCATCCTTGACCCTCACAACCTACATCTACCCATCAGCCTCTTGCCCTTTCCAGACGTGAGTCACGGGCAAGTTTCAAAACAAAGCATGAAGATAACAACTCTGGCCCCTTTGTTCACCCATCCAGGAAATGTAAATGACCCACCCAGGAATCAGCCCTTCCTCTTGGGACCCTCTGCATGAAATGGGGTCAGCAGAACTTTAGTGGGAAGAAAACAATTATGTCACTTGTGTCAAAGTGACTGGGCATCTGGCACCTTCACCTTTGACTCTGGCCAAGGAAAGCCTCTCCCAGGTGGATTCCTAGTACCATCTAAAAACAAAACAGCCAAGGCTAGGACTGAAAAAGAAAGAGCATGCACTCACCTCGGTATGAATTCAGAACCATTTGCTGAGCAAAGTCCAAAACCTTGATGCTAAGAAGCAAAAGGAAACAGAAACTTAATGTTGACCTACACTGTCTACATAAAAACATGTGTTCAAAAAAGAAATTCCTTTAACAGACACATCCTATGTCTTTGTCTACTGGACATCTGATACAGCCTGTTTTTGAGGCCAGTATGACACTAAAGACACACAAAGGAGGCCTAGAGGCTCAATGGGAGCAGGGACTCACCAGAAGTCTTTCCTACCACTGACAGCTTGTGTGCCAGAGCTCAGCACACTGACTGTAGACATGAGGTCATAATGCTTATACTTGCAGAACTTGCTGACAATGAGTGTCTCATTCTCATCCAGCTCCCACAATTCAACAGCACCTGTTGGGAGTGGGGAAGAGGGTGAGGAAAACAAGCTTGGATTATGCCAAGACAGCAATTCACTTCTAGGATTCAAGTAGTCCATTGTCAATAAACTAACAAATTAAGTTATTCCTATAAAAGCAAAGTCTGCATCTTCAGAAGGTTTAACTAACTCTCAAGCCATTTGACTTTATTCTGGCATTACTGATGTCCTACTAACAGTCCAGAAAATTAGGTGGGGAAAGCTTCTAGAAAAAGACAGAGAAAGATGGAATGGCTAGTAAAATCCATTATCCTGCTTCCAGTAAGAAAACATTGCAAAATAAGTTCTTAGGAGACAAAGATGAATCTCCGCAATGATCTGCGTAGCACACAGTCCAGTATGGTTAAATCTTCTCTGTTATTTGGACACTAATAAATATTTGTTGAACAATTTGAATAAATGTCTTACAGAGTCGTAAAAAATATGTTGAATAATTCAGTGTCTTCTCAGTGACTGGCTAAGTTCAAAAACTCTCCACATAGCTGTCCTGAGTAAGTAGTGTTCAAGCTCAACTGCCAGAGAGGCTCAACCTTTAATGTCCCACTTTTACCTTCCATGCAATGTCTGCCAACACCCAAATGATGTTTTTTTTTTTAAATTCCAGAGTCTCCATTGCTGAGCCTGACATTCAAAACAAAGAAAGCAAAATGGGAAGAAACGGAAAGATACAGGTAGTACAGATTGGACATTCTTTTCTCTGAGGTGCCCAACCCAATTTTTACCCATTTTTAAAATTAGGTTCTATTTCTTACTGTTAAATGTTACTTCTCTCTCTCTCCCCCCCGCCCCCGCCCCCGCCCCACGTATAGATAATTTTTCTGATATGGTTCCCCAACCATCCTAAAAACTCTACTGTTACTCTCCCAGAGATTCTCTCAAACATTATGACCATACACCCCTACCAACGTGAAAATCAACACTGATAAACACTATCATTAAATCCACAGACCCTATTCAAATTTGGCAATTGTCACAACAGCACATCTTTCTTATCTCATTCAGGAATACGTGTTGCATTAGATTTTCATGTTTCATAAATATCCCTCAGCCTGAAGTAATTCCTCAGCCTTTTTATGTCCCTCATATCCTTGGTACACATACAGTCACTTTGTTTTTGCTAGTTCACACTCTCCTGGGCTCCTGGCCCTGAAAGTGCAGGTTCCCACCCAACGTGGCTCCGGGACAGCTCCGGGGCAGCTCCGCTTGCCGCGCATGTGTACTAGGAGCCACTCCCCTCAAGGAGCAACAAAGCTGGAGCTGCCGGCCAGCTTCTGTTTCCTAGGCAACGCAATACACAAACGCTGGTCCTAGTGGCACTGGCACAATGTGCTTCAACAAAGCAGGTGAGGAGGGATGAGTCAAGAGTAGAGGCAGGAGGAAGAGTGGGGAGACTGGGAAAGAGGGGGAAAGGAGGGAAATTTGTTCACCCCCCTCCTTGGATTGGTCACTGTTTTGTTCAGAGTTCTGTCTGCCCAGGTCTCTGCTCCCCCTCCCCACACCCCACCTGCCCCCAAGCTCTCACTTAGACCATGGGGCCTTCCCTCATGTGGAGTTTCTCCTCTTTCTTGCTCTCCAGAGATGCTGGTTAACTGCTCCTTTGGAACATGTCAACAGAGGAAGCTCTTTCCTTACTTCCACCCCCCAAACTTGTTGGGGAACAAGTTTCTCCCTCTTAGGGGAGCGCCCCACAGAGGGCCTGGATGTTACATAGCAGAAGATGTGAGTATTTACTTTCCTTTAAGTAGGTCTCAGTTCCCAGACTATCTAAGGGTGCTTGAGTTTCCTGGAAGAAAAGCCCTGTGAGATTTGTGACCTTCAGGGTCCCAACATGAGAAAGTGACCTGGTCCTCTGCAACCAGCTGTCAGTGCCAATATCAGAAATTGCATTGCTTGCATTGTTTCCCTTTGAATCCCCACCAAATGCAAGCCTTGGCCTTATGCAGCCCCCAGTATAGTTCCCACACCATTCCCACCTACAAAGGAATCAATAGCTCCCCTTAGTCCAAACCTGGACTGTGGCTGTGCTGGTAGGTCAGTTTATGAAATCATATAATCAGACTGACAATTGCATGAGAGCAGATTCAGCTCTGTGGGCCTTAGAAAACTGGATTCACTGGAATGCATAGAAATGTCATTCACTCTACCTATCCAGCCACATTCCTTTGTAGAGTTGCCTGTGTTACTTATGTAATTGCTTGTATGGTCTTGATGCAGAGGAATCAAGAAAGAAAGAGCAACTTTGGCAGAGAAGATTCAGGAATACTCTAAGTTCATTCTGTTTTAATAACTATAATGTTCTCTATGTATGTTTTTTCTTTGTTTTCTATATACTACCGGAAGAGGTATGGCTTGGCATACAACCTCTCTAAGATCCCGACCAGTATAAAAGGATATGTTTTTGGAGCCAGAACAGCTGTGAGGTTTAAGCCAATCAGCAAGGTTAGAAATGGCTGAATGTACTTAGATTTTAGTGTGATCCATGATGCTGCATGTATTTGCATTGGGGAGCAAAGCTAGAGGTTACCTAAAGGACATGCCCTGAAATTCAAGAAAAAAAAGTCATTTAGACGAAAGCTACTAAGAAGCCTATATGAAAAGCTTAGATATTAACATTGCAAATGTGTATGTGTGAGTGTCCTGGGAGAGTGGAAAATAATTCTCAGAAGGAATGGTACCAAGGCAGGGCTTCAGTCCTGAGATACCTGATGTTAAAGTACCAGAAGCTTTGTTTATATGCACCATATTATCTTGTCAGTTAAAAAACAAATTCCAACTTCTTCACCCTTTTGTGTGATTGGACTTCAAGTCTTCAGTATAGGCTCCTAATCTCTCGTTGGACATTTTCTTGATGCTTAAGCTCGAGAGGGATACTGGCTCTAAAAGAATCTCTGAGTGGGATGGTGGGATGGTGGGGGTAGTAGCTGCAATAGTTACCTTGGCTCTCTACCCACCATAGGTTTATTTCTACAACCTAAGCATTAAGTACATTTGGGTAGCTGAACCATACCATTATCTTGGTTTTCTACTTATTGTAGGTCTATTTCTATAGCTTGAGGTGGTTCAATCATAGCTGATAACATGAACAGGGAGAGGATGATTTTGTTTATTCTACTTAGAAGGCTTTACATGTATATATATTACCCTCTAAACTATTGATCTTTTTCTTGGAAATAGGATATGACACCTTATCCAGGCATGTACCAAACAGTCGGTCCTCAGGAGCAAACACACAAACAAAATTTTGCTCCATTTAATGCCTTGTTGCCTCGATTTAGGACATACTCTAAGGACGCTTGTTATCCTGGGTAAGTGTCCCTCTTTCTGGTGCACTTCAACAAAGAGCAATAGGAAAGGAAGTACAAAAAGGGGTTACATCCCAACTATGCCCTCTAAATAAGAAACTATCTATCTTTAAAGATTCAACCTCTTGCCTTCCAGATCTCTAGAATTACAAAATTATTATAAAGGATAGTGATTCATTCAATAAATATTTATAAATGGCCAAGCAGTTTTGTAGGCTCTGAAGATTTTGCACTAAACCCACCATGCAAGGCTCCTGATTTCTTGGAGCTTACACTCTAGAGTCCAGACAGGTGAGAAGCAAATAAACGAGAAAGTATCAGTGGTAATAAGGAGAGTGACCATATAATTTATTAGCTAGTGTGTCACTTCCGAGAGTGAAAGAGGATCTTATTAATAATTATACCAAGACTATAGCCATAAGCTAGGGCTGTCATGAGCACACCAGGAAGTATAGTGACCTAGTGATGGGCTTAATAAAGCCAAACAAGATGATATGATATGGAGTGATGGCTGGAATATATTTTGGCAAGGACTGTCAAGATAGGTCTTTCTATGGAAATGACACCTGATCTGAAATCACGGTGATAAGACTAAAATGGCCCTGTGAAGACCTAGGCCTAGAGCTTCCCAGGCAGGAGGAGCTGCAAGTACAAAGGCTGTAAACTGGGAAGAATTTGGTGTGAGGAAAAAAGAAAAAAGGCTAGTATGGCTACAGTGTAGTGGGGCAAGGAGGAAATGAGAACAGAGGAGGAGGAGGGGCTAGAGTATATAAGCCTAGTAGACCAAGGAATGCGTTCTAAGTGCTTTAGGAAGCCATTCAGAGTATGCGGAATTGTAGGGCACAGGGTCAAGGTCTTTCTTTTACTGGTGAGCATTCCAAGGATCAGAGTGAGTGTAACTCTCTCAAGGTTTCAGTAAAGGAGTAGAAGTGTTAAATCTTGATTCCCATGACCACCCTATGTGTTATTTCCACAGCAAAGAGTCTACACCAAAAGACAAAGTGTTATGAACAAAGGCAATACAAAATATCCCATTGTCAGGAAATTTCACATCATGGGCAGAACTTAAGCATCACTGTGGAAGATCTCTTTTATCATCCACCATTCCTGGGATCTTTTGGTCTCTCAGCTAAGAATACTGAGGTTCAGAAATATTTTAAACTGGAGTCGATTTTTACCCTCACTGCATGTCAAGACTAGAAATCTTGAACACTAACACCTATTTAGAAATACACTAACAGGCAAAGGAACACTATGCTTGCCTGACATTAAGATCTAATCAGTCTGTTGCCTTTTCCAAAGGAGTGAGGACTAGCTCAGGTGCACATGTGGTACTGATGAGGTTTGTATATGGTCACTAACTCATTCAACATAATATTTTATATTTTTATTTCTAGCCCTGACACATATAACCCAGAGATAAAGGCACCCAAAAAAATCACCTGGCCAATGAAATTTGGATCTCCAGACTGGGCCCAGGTTCCATGTCTACAGAAAAGAACCCTGAAAGCTGAGGTAATAAAATTGGACTTCTGTGGAGCCCTGTATTTAATACTTCCACATGTATCAGTGATTCTTAACCAGGAGTCTGTGAATAAGCTTCAAGAAGTCCTGGTTCCCCTGAAATTACTTGCACAATTTTGTGTGTATATGGATATGGGGATCTTTTTGGAGAGTTACACAATTTCACTTGACTTTTAAAGGTGTGTGTGCTGAACAAAAGTCACATTTTCTTACTTAAACCTCAAACAATCTTTTATGGTAGTCCAAGATAACTAACCTCTATGATTGAGGAGTAAACTGAAGCTCAGACGGATTAAGCAGCTTGTAGCTGTGACTCCTAAGCCACTGCTCTTTCCATTACAACACTTGATCTACAAACGGCTGTAGATCATTCTGGCAAGAACATGGATACCAGGGACAGACTGAGTGGGTTCAAATACGAATTCCATATTTGCTTGCTGTGTGTCTTCTAACTTTTATATTTGCTTGCTGTGTGTCCTCTAACTTTTCTAAGTCTCAGTTTGCTTGTCTTTAAAATGGATGTAATAATAGACTCAATCTGATAAAGTTGTGAAGATTGAGAGATCGTAGAAAAGTGTTTAGCACCGTACCTGTAACATAATAAATGCTCAATCCGTGTCAGCTATCATAATTCCAGAAGTGCCCTTTTTTCCCCTAGTGGAACTTTGGATTAATTCTACAAGTATTTATTAAATGCCAAATGAATTAACATAATTGTGATAGGGCCGATG